AAATAATTTTTTTATCCAACGAAATTATTTCCTGAATTTTCTATCTCAAAACATATAAAATGCTGCTAAATTCAATTCGCCAGCTCTATTTTCGTTGCTGAGATATTAGATTTGGTTACGAGAAAAATTCAATTTCAAACCAGCAAGTTTGATGTTTGAATTTGTGAAAAAATCTGCCAATTAGAACTTTGGCATGATCTCCTTTCTTTTTGGTGCAGGAAACAAAACAATTTAAGTTTGAGTAGTTAAGCTCATTTCTGAATGCTTTTGGCTATCGGCGAGGCATAAAATACTTTGCCACCCTATTGAAGGAAAGCATGAAAAATAGCAGTTGTATGGGAGGTTCCGTGCCCACATTTCACAGTTACAGTTACTATACTATTCTTATGTATGTATATATGTATATAAACAGTTTTTTTGAAGTGAAACATCTTTAGCGGCGATAAAAGTAAAGATAAAGATAGATTAAGAAATATTTAAGTAAAGGTAATTATAGAGCAAAGGATATAGATGGAGATACAGAGACTCAATCTGGAAAGTATTTAGGGATTTTATAGATTTTCGGGATTCTCGGGATTCCCGGGATTTATCGATATAATAATCGATATTTTATCGGTTTTGTTATCGAAATTTTTATCGATTTTGCTATCGATATCTTCGGAACTTATCTATAGATATAATAATCTATACTTTTATCGAATTTGTAATTGATATTTTTAACGAATTTGTTATCGATATTGTTATTGGTTTTGTCATCGATATTGTTATTGGTTTTGTTATCGAAATTTTTATCAATTTTTTTATCGGTACTATTATTGATTTTGGTACCGATTATTTATCGATTATATATCGAATTTGTTATCGATATTCTTACCGCTTTTGTTATCGATTTTCTAAGCGACTTTTGTTGCTAATTTTGCTGTCGATTATTTATCGATTTTTATACCGATATTTTTATCGATTTTGTTACCGATATGTTTACCAATTTTGTTACCGATATTTTTATCGATTTTGCTGCCAATATTATTATCGATTTTGCTATCGATAGCTTTATCGAATTTGTTAGCGGTTTTGTTATCGATATCTTTATCGGTTTTACTATCGATATTTTGATGGATGTTGCTATCGATTTTTTGATATAGAGTATAATGATAAAAATGAATATAAAGTAAAAGAGAATAACATAAATATAATTAGAAAGAACAGGGGTAGAGGTAGGGATCTAGGTAGAAAAAATACAAAAAATATAACCTTAAGCAATAGCAGATGTATGTACATACATATGTATGTATCTTAGTTATGAGACAAAATAGATATGTAACGTAGGTTTCACTTCTCCAGTGTAGCCCAGGCGCACTTACTTTTTTGTATGAGTTGTATCTTCAGTTGCATTAGAGTAGAATATACTCTTTAAATCGTTGTCTGTTTCATAGAAATGCCAATTTAAAACGCTAGAATGTGGATTTTTAGTGCAATATGTAGTTATACTTTTATATATTTATATACAGAATCGTTATTCTTTTAAAAGCTAATAGGAGTAAGTGCTCGTCTGTAATTTTGCAACCACTCTGTGTGCCGTTCATGCGTTAACCTCACCGGATATATGAAATCACCAATGCAGCCATCGTCAATCGCGCTCGCTAACGGCAGCCGAGTAGCAATTGGAAATGTACAAGGACTTCCGTTGTCGATAATGACTTGGCCAATCCGTCGATTGAATGTTAAACATAGCAATGGCCACTTTCGCCGCCTGCTCGTGAGCTTGCTCAATGTATTTAGTACGTTTCAGCGATCCCACAGCTTATTTTGCAATGCACATTTTGCCTCGCTTTCGATTTTCACTTAGCTAAGTATTTTACAATTTAAAATATTTTTCAATAAATATTAATGCGTTCTTCAAACGCAATGCCATTGATGGTGGTGGGAAGGAAATACCGCAATACGAAACGGTAATAAAGTTGCACAGAAAAAACAAAGTGCTTGGTAGTGCATCGGTAAGGGTTCACTTTAATTTGCTACTTTAAATTGGAATTGCTAGAAATTTTTTAATCTTACTTTAATCTAATTACTATAATTTAACTGATGTTGGAGATATTGGTATGCATAAGTATGTATTGAATCATTTATTGCTATTGCGAATGTTAGTTTCTCTGAATGATTATAGAATACATAAGTATGTATATTTGTGCTGTTGAAATAAAAGCTTATCTGAGCTCAACAAACCAGTGATTCTTGTTTTCCCTTTGGAACAGTTATTTTAGAATCTCAATAGTGGAAGTCAAACCCGCAATGAACTTTGCTCCAATTTATCGCAATTTTTTTATAGTGGCGTATAAACTTCTCTTTTTTTGTGCTGAAACCTCTACACAGAATAGTTAATACCTATCTTTCTCTCGTCATTGACGTTTGATTGTTATCTAATGATTAACATGCTTACCAGGTAATCAAAAACCTATCATCAAAAATTTACTTCTTTATTCTCGCAAAAACGTGTGCATAACGCCATTTAAAATTGGCACTCTAACCATCCAATAAAAGCTGTTGATTTTTAGTAGCTTTTTTTTGCTGAAAGAGTTGTTCATTTTCTTTCATATAAAAAGATCGTCGAACATGCTTTGTATGGAAGAAAATGCACAACACCGCCAGCAAAAAAAAAAAACAATAAAAATTCCAAAAATCGGCGGCAAGTCCTATCTACTTCATACTAATGATGAAAAAGAAGGTACAACCGCGCTTTTTTCAACATTTTTACAATTCGAAGGTACATTCGGTACAAACGTGCAATTTTAGTTACATTCACTACGTAGAGAAATTTTCCAGGAATCTTTTGAGCTTTTTCAAAGTTAATTTCCGAGTCTGTTTAAGCTTTTATTACAGTGGATGGTGCAAAGCTGGATCAGCTTAGAAGGAACCGCACTTCAATACTGCACTGATTAAATCTAGAGAAAAATACGTAACGACGTAAGCATATCAGTCAAAAGCGGATCATAAAACTGGACATGGCTAAATGTATCCTTTAATAAAACAGTCAGTTTTTATAACTTATTAAATGCTTTTTATTTACATTCGATTTTAATCCAAACGACCAATTAATCCGTTAATCTCCTTCGTTTAATTACAATTAATAACCGATTACTTTCGGTTAATCCAGTAACCGATTAGACGATTATTAAATTTTTTTGCCATCACTAGTTCCTGGAAAGAAAAAAGAAAGTTCCTCAAAATTACACCGAAAAAATATTATTATTTTTATTTTTTAAAACAGTAAACTTTCTCAACATTAAAGAAAAATTTGCAGAAGATACTTTTTTGTTTCCAGGAACTCTAGAACTATTGAATAGCTTCTCAGAATAGGTATTTTTTTTTTTTTTTTACTTTTTTCACATATTAAGCTTTCTTGACTTTTTTGAAAAAAAAATCTTTTTTTGACGTAATTTCATATTAAACTTTTTCGACTTTTTTGAAAAACATTTTTTATCGTAGTTTGCAGAACTTTTTATTTGCTTTTCAGGAGCTTTAGAACTAATAAAAAGCTACTCAGAACAGTTGTAATTTTTATATTTTTTCACATTAAAGTTTTTCGACTTACAATTTTTTTTCTGTGTAATTTTATTTACAAAACTTTTTTTCCTTTTCAGGAATTGTAGAACTTTTGAAAAGCTACTCAGGGCAGTTTTAGTATTTAATTTCTTTCGCTCTTTATCTATTTCGACTTTTATGAAAATTTTTTTTTGTGTGAATTTTACAAAACTCTTCTTTCTTTTCAGTAACTCTGGAACTATTGAGAATGTACTCCGAACAGCTTTTTTATCTTTTCGCGGCAATTCGTATAGCAACTTCACAGACATAGGAAATCGTCATGTTAAAAGTACCCGTGGCCAACATGAAGATAGAAGACGATCTAGTACAGTTGCAACTACATACATAGCAGCTTTCCCTGCTGGGCAAGAACATATCGCATACACACCTAAGCTTTTCAGTTTTATTAAATGTGTACATTATTAACAAATATTATTTGTGAAGCTTTTTAAATTATTTGCTCTCTTCTAACTAGCAGCTTTACAGCAGAGAATTAACACTAAAACATTATCTCACAAACACAAGTAAACAGCCTCAACACCGGCAGTGATGCCAGACATTCTCTGTTAAAAATCCCACGAAAATGGGAAAAAAATCCCTCAATTACCCACATCTTGAAAATTTATCCCACAAAATTCCCAACGAATTTAAACATATACATGTTTCAGTAGTAAAGAAGTAAAATTCATATAAAATAATAATAATAGTTTGGCGCTTACACATATGTGCTTTTCCTCCAATTTGTGGCGGTCCCCTTGATGTGGTCACACAAAGGGGAGGGACCTACAGTTTTACGCCGACTCCGAATGGCGAGTGTATTTTTATGAGAAGCTGTTTTTCATGGCAGGAATACACTCGGAGGTTTGCCATTGCCTGCCGAGGGCCGACCGCTGTTAAGAAAAAACCCCTTTTCCTGAATTTTTTTCACTCATTCAATTTTTCACTTTCATTTTTTTGCTCACTCACTGCTATTTAACATTTCATCAGATAATTTGTTCCGCTTTTTACATGAAATACCAGTTACAACTGAAAAGATTCTTTCTTACTCAGCGCTTGAATTGGTTAACGTAAGAAAATTTTCGAAATTATCCTTATACTTTTTAACAATTATATACCATTTCACTCCACATCACATCTTCAGAACGATTAATTAAGTCGAATGTCGAATATTCGTGAATTTTGATCAATTATGCAACAATAACTGCGTCAAAAGAAAATCCCTTATTTATATGAAATGTCCCTTTTTTCCCTTTTAATAATTTTTGATGCAAAATATCCCTCAAATAGGGAAATTTCCCACAATCTGGCACCACTGAACACCGGCAGCAGAGTCAGTTGAGCAATGCCTTTACTAAATTTTGTTGATATTCATTCTCAAGTTGAAGTTCAAGTGTGTCAGTCTGTAGTTGTTGGTCTGTCAAGCTGGTTGTTAGTTTCGAAGGTGTAATTCACAACACTAATGAATAAAATATCGTTATAATAAGATAATAATTGTATAGTGATTTAAAACACAGTTCACAAATCCAACTTAAAACTTTCACAATGGTTGACGAACCGCCGCCACGTGAGGTGAGTGAGTGTTTTTGTACATATGTATGTATATTAGGGTGGTCCAAAATGCATGTGAAAAAGGTAAAGTCGGAATTTGTATGCTCTCACGCCCCATTTTTTTATTTATTTTGAAATCAAAAAATATTTGGACGTCGATCAAATCGCTCAAAGTTTCCTATGTATTTTATATAAGAAAAAAACAACTTTTCGTAGAAATGGTATAGAATTCTTGAAAATTCATGTTTTTCACCGGAAAACTCTGTTTCTCTGGGAAGATTCCCAACAATAATATCCAATTATTTGTTTAAAATTTTTTTTCATAGGAACTATATTTTCTAGGCCCCCCAAAACCCCTAGAAAATGCCTGAAAATGCAATGGAGGGATGAATAAAAAATTTTTAGTATTAAAAAATGGATTAAATAAACAATTAGGTATTGCTATTGGAAGTCTCTCGAAGAGAATCAGAGTTTTCCAATCGAATTCCGCACTACTTCTACGAAAAGTTGTGTTTTCTCCATGTAAAATACATGAAAAACTTTGAGCGCTTTGTGCGTCCTCTAAAAGCTTTTTGATTTAAAAATAAAAAATAGAGGTATGTCATTTTTAAATAGAGGAGGTGAGAGCATTCAAATACCGACTTTATTTATTTTGGACCACCCTAATGCATATACATACATATGTAAAGTCATGCTCTCAGCTAATTAAAAATCTAAACGTGAGCAATTGCTAAAGTGGCACTATGAACGATTTGTTGTTGTGTGAGCGAATTCGTATCAGCTGGTTTCTAATGAATGCGTCACACATTCTGATAAGACCGGTTGGCTGCTGTTGGTGTAACATTGATATTGTGAATCGACTTTGCGACGTAGGGAAACAACGTTCAGTTAGTCGAAATACATATATGTATTTGTTTATGTTGCTCCGAGTGCTGTTGTCACGGTCAAAGCTCATCGAAACAAGTCTAGTCAAAGTTCGTTTAAGAAATCAATTATTTATAATATAAAATAGCAAAAATTTAATGTTAAGTTTGTTATAAATAGTATGTAGCTGGTTTCTCGTAACATATTTTTGTTGTAAGTACAAGGAGTAGAGATTAGATAACGAATTTTTTTCTAACTAAGGCTGTCAACTATAATTAGCTAAAAGGTGTCGTATTGGCAATAAACAAGTGGCAAATAGTTTTCTAGTTACATGACAAAATTTTAGTTTTCGAAAAAATGGAATATGCGAAAGATTTTATCAAAAATGTTTTCAAATATCACTGGTTTTCACAAGTGTCATTTTTACACCTTGTAACAAATTGAAAAGTTGGGTACTACTCGTAATAAAATAGAGCCAAAGTGGCAGTGCTGACAACAATCAACGACTTTATAACAGACGTAACGTAAAAAAAGTCACCCAAAGTCAGCAAAATGGCTTCTGTATTCTCTAACCCAAAGAAGCTTGGGCCAGTAAAACTCTAAAACAGTGGTGGGCATCGGCCTGCCCGCGGGCAAAGATCTTTCATGCTTTGTTTACTTTTACTATAGGAAGCTTGAAAGAGCTTTGCCCGCAGGTAAGCTGATGCCCTCCACCGATCTTAAACTATCAAATCTCTTTTACTCTAGGACCGGAAATTGAACGTACATGTATATCTGTTGAATTCAATTAAAGCAACTTAAGTGACTTTAGAAGGTCTGACTTTGAATTAATAGATAATAGCGTCGCTTGGCTTGCATTACCGCGTATATGATAATCCGAAAATTTCACAAAAGTGCAAACTAAACTTTTGAATGGTTTTTTAACTGAACTTATTAAATATGAGCTTCTACTAAAGTGTTTGACCAATAAATTTGTGAAGTAGGCCAGCAGTAGCCAACTCATACGCGGTATTGCATTTTGCGTATACGCCGTATTGCACGTCAAGCGACGATCAGTTTAGCTCGAAAATTTAAATATTTTATTAAGTTTATAAGAGAACGACATCCAGCTTAATTAAATATTGATTTAAAGGGAAAATGGCTTATCTCGAGATAAGTTGTCTTAATAAAATACTACAGATATGTACACAAACAACTTAATCGACCGTAGAAGGCTTGACTTTGAATAAAAAAAATGCTTTTCATTATAGTTTAGTAAGCTGAAATAATAGCGCATCTTAAACTACCCCAATGCATTGTAGATAGCTTGACCCGTTTTTGTGGCCAAAATATAACCAAACAAGTAGATTATTAACAAAAACATGTTTTTTTTTTTAATAAGCATACGATTTCGCACATATTAAAAAAAAAAAAATCTTAACCCTTGACGACCGATGGGTCATAATGGGACAATTTTTTTTATGTGTGGCTTTATTGAAAAAGCTCGAATACAGTTTTTTTTTCTCCAAATATTTATACGAAAGAAAAAAACTCAGCTTAGTTACAAAAACAATTTATGCAGTGGCTAATTTAAAAAAATATGTTTTGTTTTCTTGCTTTCAGTTCGAGGACATTCGCATCAAAGTACCTTGGGGTCACATCGCTGGACGTTGGTATGGCGATCGCAATTTACGCCCCATTCTCGCCATCCATGGCTGGCTGGACAACTTGGGTACTTGGGACACTTTGATACCGCTTTTGCCGCAACATATTGGTATTTTGTGCATTGATCTGCCCGGACATGGATACTCCTCGAAATACCCCCCAGGGCTACCGTACCATGCCATGGATTATGTTAACGTAATTATTCGTGTAATGAAGGAATATGAGTGGGAAAAAGTTTCGCTGTTGGCCCATTCGCTTGGCTCGATCATATCATTCACGTACGCCGCGCTGTTCCCGCGAACGGTGGATATGATTATAGCCGTTGATGTTATTAAGGCATATTACCCTCCAGTGGAGCATGCGATAAATAATCTGCGTGCGAATGCCGAAAAAATGCTTTTAGAAGAAGAGCGCATCGAGAAGTTGACAATGTATGAGCCACCCTCATATACATACGAACAATTGAAGCAGGTGCTCTACGAGGGTTCGCAAAGATCCGTTGAAATTGACAATTGCAAATATTTGCTAAGTCGGAATATTACAAAATCAAGAAAATTTCCAGATAAATATTATTTTTCACGCGATGGACGAGTGAAGATATACACTCCATTTATAGGTTGGCCGGCTTTGTATTTAGAAATGGCTAAGAGAATCAAGAATGTGCCTTATTTAGTCATTAAGGGCACTAAATCTGACTACATTAATGAGGATTCCAATGAAGTAATCGATGTACTGCGCCAGAACAATCCGCACTTCGAATTTCATGAGATTGATGGCACCCATCATGTGCACTTGAATAATCCGTCGGAATGCGCAGCCGTTATAACTCCATTCATTAATGCTCACAGGCCAGCTATGCCCAATAGCTGGGCTGTTGATGACGATGAAACTGTGCTTAGAGGCAATCAAAGTAGAAACCGTAACAAAAATGCAGCCAAGCGGCGACTCAGGTGGCTTAGGAGTAAGCTGTGATGAAGTGGAATATTTTATATGTGTGTAGAGCTTTGAAAAAAAAATGCCTATTATTAGTTATAGTTTATTTATATATTTTTACTATCGGCGAAGTCATTTTGAGGCAAATATGTATGTAAAATGTCCTTTAGAAAAAAATATATGTATATATGTATGTTCTTCTCACACCTCGATTTAGTTTGATTTGTTTCTTCTTGGACAATTTAGAGTTTTGCAAAATTACACTGAGGGAAAAAAATAGTAAAATCAAATAGAAACGTAATTGATCTTACTATAAAGGTCAACGAAAATACTGTATATTGGTACATATTCAATTCAATTACGCGCATATTAAAATGACCGCGTTCGTTCTGAAAAAGCATCCGTGAAGTGAATAATCAAGACAAAAACTAAAAAAAACACATTTAACTTGCATGTTTTGCCTGCAGTGGAATTCGAACCCTGACCATCTCTGGATATCAACAAATTGTGGCATGCATCTTTGTGCACTCAGCTACACCCGGATATATAAATTTGCTTTCAAATGTTGAATATCCATCAATACCACAGCACGCGATTTGTAAGGTTAACATGCACTATGTATGAATGGATGTGGACCCACTTGCTGCGAAAGTTTTTCTCCAGGGGGGCTACTCTGTAATGCGATGCGAAAGAGAAATGCGATGCGATAGGCAATCGTCACAGGGTGTTACTTACGATGTATTTGTCTATCGCATCGTATTACAGAGTAGCCCCCAGATCAATAGGTTGTACTAAATCCATGGACATACAATATTTGTGAAATGCAAGCTAATAATAAATTAAAAATCCATAGAATTTTTCAACATTTTAGCATCAATTTCGTGGGCTTTATTCATAGTCTTGTTGATTCCTAGCAAAAGTTCATAGAGAGATAAGTAGAAAAATTTGATTTAAAAACATTTTCCATCCAACAAAAAAAAGTATTTGTAAAAAGTGGTCATCCATATTTTTTAAAATTAGTTTTAGTCCAAAATAATGTTTTTTTCTTAATATGTTGCAATTACTCGTATCTAATGAAAATGAGGCAATTTTATAATTTATTTCTACAAGAGGAAAAATATTTTTCTCAAAGATTGGTTTTTTGCATCCGTCGGCAAATTTTTTATTTGTAATTATGGTAGAAAATTATTTCAAAGTATACAAATTATTATTATAATTATAATTTTCTTATTCCAAACAAATTAAAGTTAATAGTTTGCCGACAAAATTCGTTTTACCAAAAATAACTAGTTCTATAAAAAAATTTCGGCCGCTGTGGTGTAGTGGTAAGCAGTGCGCGCTTTCACTCATCAGCACCTGGGTTCAAGCCCTGGTCAAAGCAACATCCCATAAAAATATAGAAAAAGGTTTTTTCTTAACAGCGGTCGTCCCTCGGCAGGCAATGGCAAACCTCCGAGTGTATTTCTGCCATGAAAAACAGCTTCTCATTAAAATACAATNTGTGACAACATCAAGGCGCACGCCACAATTTGGAGGAGAAGCTCGGCCAAACACTAACATATGTGTAAGCGCCAATCTATTATTATTATTATAAAAAAATTTCGTAGTGGAGAAAAGCTTAGAAATTGTTAAAAAGCAAAAGCGAATTAAAGGCTTTTTCTTTAAAAAATAAATTCACCAAATGGTTGAACTTTTTATTTGTAAATACGGTAGAAAATTATTTTAATATATACAAATTATAATTTTTTTAATTTTT